ATCCCAGCACTTTCAAGGCCAGGACTTTAGCCACTAGGCCACTGTGCTGGGCCCATAGGTGGTAGCTTTATCAGCTGTCACAACACTGGTCCAGCAGTCTCTATCCACTGTGCCACAATACCAGCTGCTAAATAATTTTTAGAAACCCTGTTACAGGGTTGGCACGATGGCTAAATAAACTAATAGTCCACATACAAGCATCAGCATACGGGCACCAGTCCTGTTCTAATCCTGGCTGCTCCACTTCCCATCCAGCTCCTGGCCATAAACAGGCCTGAGACAGCAGTGGAGGCCCCAAGTCCTTCAGACCCTCACCCACACAGGAGACCTGGTAAAAACTCCTGGCTTTGGATCAGCTCAGTTCTGGCATTGGGGTCCTTCAGGGAATGAACCAACAGATAGAAGATCATTCTCTCTGTAAATCTTTCATACTTGTGTCTAAAAAAATACTTTGCTATTTTATTTTTCACCAGGCAAATGAATGCTCAGGTTGAAGAATAGATTTCCCAGTCTCTCTGAAGCTAGGTATGGCCATAGGATAATATCCTGGACAAAGCGCTAAATCATCATATATAAATTTCAGGAAATCTTTGAAGGAAATGCTAGAACAAAGACACAATGCTAGAACATACTCATCCTGAACCGTTAGATCCAAATTATGCACAGAAGCTATGGGAGGGGTAAGACCTAAGCAGCCCTGTTGCTTCAGCAGGCCATTCTATTATAAAGACTTTTTTTTTTTTTAAACTGGAAAGGCTGACTGACAGATCATACCTCTGTTGATTCACTCTCCAAATATAGGTCAATAGTCAGGGCTAGGCAGACTGCAGCCAAGGCCAGAAATTCCATCTGGTCTCCAATATGAGTGGCTGAAATTCAAGCACGTGGGTCATCAGCTGCTGCCTTCTCAGTTACATTTATCAAGAAGCTGAACTGGAATTGACTGGTACCCCAACAGAGGATGAGGGTGTGTTCCAAACAGAAGCCTAACCCACTGCACCACAATGCTTGGTCCATCTAATCTTGTCTTATATGAGAAAGAAAAGTTTTTTTCTTTAGTTTTCACAGTCCATTCTCCACCAAGCAATCAGAATGATCTTTTTAAAATTTAAGTGAAATTATGTCTCTTTCTGGTAAGAATCCAAAATATTTTCTAATCACAGAGTAAAATGCAAAGTCTTTTAAAAATTTTTTATTTTTAATATAAAGATAACGTCTCATGTATTGCAAAGATACAATTTTAAGACGACAACCATACTTCCCTCCTCCTTCAACCTCCCTCCTTCTTTTTACTCCTTTAATTTCTGCAGTAACATACTTTTACTTTTTAATCACAGGCTTAAGTGCACCACTGACCATAGTGTTCAACAAGTAGAAAGAGCACTGTTCCACAGCAATATAAACAAGGGCTAAAAACCACCTACCAAGTCAGAAGATGTCAGTTTCATTCTTAATATACAACTTTTTTTGTATTCTGAAATAACTACCACATTATCAGAGAAAATATATTTGTCTTTTTTTGGAACTGGTTTATTTCACTAAGCATCATCGTCTCCAGTTACATCCATTTTGTTGCAAAAGACAAAATTTCATTCTTTATGGCTGAGCAGTATTCTACAGTGTAGACATACCATCATTTCTTTATCCTGTCATCACTTGACAGACATTTGGGTTAATCCTACATCTTGGTTACTATGAAAAGGGCCATTATAAACACGGAGATACAAATAACTTTCTCATGTGTTACCTTCATTTCCTTTACATAAATTCCCAGGAATGGGACGGCTCTGTCATACGGTACATCTATGTTCAGATTTCTGAGGAATCTCTGCGTTGTCTTACAAAATGGTTGTACTAGTTTGCATCACTATCAACACTGAAATACAAAGTAGTAACATCCTTCACAATTTCCTCATGATTTGGTCTCATTTACTAACTCACTCCTTATTCCACGACACGGCAACCCTACTGAGGACCACTTTCTATTCCCTAAACAAAGCAAGCACACTCCTCCCTTGGAGTTTTTGTATTTACTGTTCCTCTCTTTAAATATTATCCCTTCAAATAACCCTAACTTAATTTACATTCCTGCTAATTTTTGAAGTCTTAAGCATACTATATGAATATCACAAATATAATCATATCATATATATATCACTCTTTCCTATTAAATTTATTTTTCTGCTTTATTTTTTTACCTATCACTTCACTGTCATGTACTTATTTTCTTTCTCCTACTATCAAACTTTAAGTGCCATAAAGACAGGAGTTTGTGTAGTTTTCTGTCATATCCCAGTGTTTAGAACAGTAACCAGAATGAATACATTACTATGTGTTGAATAAATGAACAAAATGTCTTTATATAGTTTATCCTAGTTCAACATGGCTCACAGATTAGAACAGCAAGAATAAGAACTGATGTTGCCCTATAAGCTGCCTGGCTAAAAATAAGTCTGGCATTTTTATTGTACTCTCAAATTATTTTAAAGCTGTTTCATTACACACACCCCATACTCAAATTATAACATAAAATCTTTTTTTTTTTTTTAGTTGGGTTAAAATTCTTTTTTTTTTTTTTATTGTTGCTTACATAAAATCTTAATCACACTGCAGCGATCTTGGTAACATTGGTTAAGAGACGAGAAATTAGGAGAAGACACAGACATCAGGTTAAGGGACTGTGAGAGCACAGAGACTCGACAGAATCCCCGAGTGTTAGGTTGGTGTAAGGGGCCCTAGTGCATCAGGGGATAGTAATCCAGATCAACATTAATCACAATTTTAAATCTCTCTATTCTTTTGGAAAATACTCGTTCATTCACTCAACAAACACAAGTGGGAGCCCAAGGCAGGGGGACACATGGTGAGCAAACAGTCTCCAACTTTCTAAGAAACAACTCTGCAGGTGGGCAATCACTACATCTTGTGATTTATGATTTTATTATGCTTCAGTTTTTTTTTTACTTTCTACATAAAGTCTATATTTACTTGATCTTAAAAATCGCTTAAAAAATATAATGAAGTCAACTGTGATAAACCAAGTTTTTATTTCAAAGGCAGAGTTACAGAGAGAAAGAGAAACCTTCCATCTGCTGGTTCACTTTGCAAATGTTGCATCGTCCTGGGGCTGGGCCAGGCTGAAGCTAGGAGCTAGAAGCTTCTTCCAGGTCTCCCACGTTGGTGCAGGGGCCCCAACACTTGGATCATCCTCTATTGTTTTCCATGCATTAGGAGAGAGCTGATCAGAGGTGGAGCAGCCTGGAGTCACTGGTGTTCAACTGGGATAACAGTACTGTGCCACAGTGCCAGCCCCAATAAGCTGAATTTCTAAGATAACAGGCTAAAATGAAATGTTTTTCTTACTGAATTGGGATAAAGTGAGAAATTAAAGGTTCTATGTCAATTTTAAAAAATGACATTAAGTGCTGGTGAGGATGTAGAGAAACTGGACTCTTCACACAATGCTGATGTGAATAGAAAACAGTACAGCCACTCCGGGAAACAGTCTACCAGTACCTTAAAAAACTTAAACACAGTTAGATCCAACTCATCGATTCCACTCCTTGGAATATACTGAAGAGAAATGAAAACATATGTCTACATAAAAAATGTTACAAACAAGCGTTCATAGCACCATTGTTTATAATAATCCCAAAGCAAAACAACTCAAACATCCAACAAGTGCTAAGCAGATAAATAAAACATGATATGTCCACGCAATTAAAAGGAATCCTTATGTTACAAGATGGGTCAACACTGAAAATATTAGGCTAACATGAAAGAAATCAGTCATAGAAAACACATATATATTATGTGACTGCATTTATATAAAATAACAATAGGCCAATCCATAGGAATAGTTGCCAGACAGAAGAGAAGCAGAGACTGACAGCTAACGGACACCATGTTTCCTTCTGAGGTAATGAAATATTTTGTATATGGATATTAAAGATGGTCACATAACTCTGAATATAATAAAAATTATAAAATCATGTATATGGTTCTATCTCAATTTTTTCAAAACCCTCATGGCTCAACTATATGATACCAAGTAACCAATACAAATTCAGTAATTCCACAGACCTAGCAAAAGATACTTTGGAATAAGATATTTGAGCACGCTTCAGTATCGTTCTGAAACCTAACATTAATAATGTTTACAGTGATCGGCTTATCCATCTTACACTTACCACTTTGCCTGATGTTAACCATCACTGTGAGGCAAATATCATTCTTATTCCTGTTTTACAGATGAGGAAACACAAACTAAGTAATTTGTCTAAACTGAGTCACACAGCTAGGAGTGCAACAGCTGGGCACTGAATTCACATCTAACCCCAGTGCTCAAACTCACAATCACTTTGCAAGGGAAAGATGTGTCCTGGGGGCACTATATGGTCTTTGTAATATGCTGGTCGCCTTAAATCTGATTTTTAAATCCTGTTTTCCTGGTTTCTTAAACCTGCTAACTCAAGAAAAGGATGTAAGTGAGCTTGTATGATTAAAGAGCACAGTCAGGGAGGCATTCGGACCAGGGCAAAGCGAAGATACCGCTTGGATCACTGTCTACCTTATCAGTACGGGTTCAAGTCCTGGCTCTGCACACAACCTTAGCTTCCTGGTGATGTGTAGTCTGGGGGACAGTGGGTGACAGCTGCAGTAACTGGCTCTCTGCTAGCCATGTGTGACCTGAAATGGGTGCCCGGCTCCTGGCTCAGTCTGGCCCAGGCCAGGCTGCTGAAGGAACTTAAGGAGCACAACAGCAGACAGGAGCTCTAGTCCTCGGGCATCTCTGCTCAGAAAACAAGCTGGGGGCGTGGCCAGCCACGACGCACATTAATCCTATCACTGCTTTGTGTGCCAAGTACATACTTTAACCATCTTTCAATTAATCCTAACCTTACATCAAAATCAAGTTTTAAACAAGTTCTACAAAGACCTCAAACACCCCACCTACCTCATATTTTCTTAAAATCAAAACACATACGATGACTACTGAGTAACTTTGAAGTATTTTAATAAATTTCACTTAAGCATATAAAATGGAGATGGTCAAATCCCTCAACTACAAGAAATTATCACACAAAAAATTGAAAAATATGCTGAAGCCATCTGCTGATTACCTCTCTGCAGCACTAGCTATATAGAAAATGTGCTCATCTTCATTCTGTAACCGTTCTTTTCTCCTCCTTTCAATGTCATGTCGTAGGTCATTTGGATCTATTATTTTCACCACAGTCTGAGGAATTTCGACAAAAGACAAGTTATTCACATTACTGTTAGTTGCATAAAGGTCATTATCTAACAAGAACCTTAATTAAAAGTCCTAAATAAATCATCTTGTACTTATTATGCTGCTAATGGTACAGTTACCCGATAAAAATATTTTAGAACCCAACTGACAATACAGTCAAGAATGTTCCTAAGAGAGAATCAAGAATCTCATTGGTGAGAGAGTATCTCAAAGAAAAACTACAGACCTAGAATGAGTATATTCTAAATATTAAGGAAAAAATGTGAACAAATAAAATGGGAAAATAATTAAATGATGATAAACTTAAAAGAACAATGTACAATAATTCAAATTATAGTAATACTCTATGGAAGTCAGCAAGAAACACCAATTACTACAAAAGCTAATTAAAACTTTAAAAAAAATCCACAAACATAAAAAAGGTCATGGGGAAATCAAATTTTACACTAAAAAATTATTAGTAGCAATCAAGCAAATAGAAACATAAAACATCAAAATGCCAGATGTAAGACCGAAGATGATAAGAATTATTTTAAGACGATTGACTTATAGGTGATTTCGAAAAAACTCAAATTTCCTGTATACTGATTACAGCAATTTGAAACTATCATTTATTCAACAGCTATCCCTGAAATTCAACAATTACATGCATTTCAAAAATAGAATTGCTTATATATTGTGTCAGAAATGTAGTCTCTCCTCTAAAAACTCTGTACTCTCAATGAATTAGTTCTGTTATAACTTGATACACTTCCTCTGAGAAGAACCAGTTTTCTCCATGAGTCCTTATCAAGAAGATTGCTTTTCTAATTAACAAAGCAAACAGAGGAAGTGTTAGATAGGAACCACACGCATCACACCTCTAGTGAGAAATTTCTTTTCTTTTCTTTTTTTTTTTTTTTTTTACTATTTTGCTATATTCAGCAATTAAACTGAATGCCCCTATCAAAAGAAACTTAGCTCCATTACATTCATTTCAGGTGCAATTTCAAAATACATTCCACATGACTATGCTGGAAAAACAGGTATTGAACATTCCAGGAAACTTACAATGTAGAGTTGTGGAATTAACCTTAAATGTTTGCAATTTCATATCAATTCTAAAAGCTGTTTTCTCTACACGGTCTCCTTCTCTGGAAATATTTTTGTTTTTCCTCAGTGTTTTTACTTTACCCTGCTCAATAAGCAGAATAACTCGAGCAGATGTTTCTATTTCACATTTCTACATCTCAGTGCTTCCTCACGTGCTTCCACTTTCTTCTTCACTCCCAACCATCAATCCTCTTTCCCATTAGCAGGGCAATAAGATAATACCTTGTCAAAACTTGTATTCACTTACCTGTTCTGAGTCATAAACAGCAGTTTGTCTATTCTGCAGCTCAGCCAAAGACATATCAATCCTCCTAGAGTAATGAATAAAATCACATTACTTTCTAAAACTTATGTTATACGCTGACATCCTAATTCTGCTACTATACAATGGAATTCCAGGGGTGAGTATGATCACTCAACTAGCGGCTAATCCTCTGCCTAACAGTGCCAGCATTCCATATGGGCACCAGCTTGTGTCCCAGCTGCTCCACTTCCCATCCAGCTCCCTGTTTGTGGGTCTTTGGCTCCTGCATCCGCAGGAGATCCAGAAGAAGCCCCTGGCTCCCAGTTTCAGCTCAGCTCAGCTCTGGCCATTTGGGGAATGAACCAACAGATGAAAAATTCCTTTGTCTTTCTTATGGAAGCAAGCAAATGTTCTGTTTTGTTTGTTTTTAAAGAAAAAAATGGGACTTCAAATATAGCTGGTATGTCCTGAAGAAAGGAAAATAAACTTGGTACCACCAGGTGGCTTTTCATCTAATATGTTAATTTCTAGGACACTCATAAATTTTGAACAGCATTACAGGAAGTATTTTTTATTTTAAAAGATTTATATATTTTTATTAGAAAGTCAGATTAAGACAGAGAATGTGAGACAGAAAGGTCTTCCATGTGCAAATGCACTTCCCAAGTGGCCTCAATTGCCAGAGTTGAACTGCAATGAAGCCAGAAGCCAGGAACTTCTTCCGGATCTCCCACACAGGTGCAGGGTCCCCAGGCTTTGGGCCGTCCTCCACTGCTCTCCCAGGGCACAAGCAGGGGGCTGGATGGGAAGTGGAGCAGATGGAACACGAACTGGCGCCCATATGGGATTCCAGTGCATGCAAGGTGAGGACCCTAGCCACTAGGCTATTGCGCTGAGCCAATAAAGTTTTTATAGTACCCAAATCATTAGTATGTGCGCCTTCCAACTTTGTTTTGGTGATAGTGTTCTAACACTGATAAGCCTAGCTTACACCAGCTTGAACAAATTTCTACAGCAGATGACACCTATTTTCATCCAGCTGTCCCCAGAGCAGCCATTTGTGATTGCAAGAAGCAACCAACCCATGATTTCAATGGCATGAGAACCATTGTTCATTCTTTAAGTAACTTCTGTAGATAATTACCATGGTCACAATAGAATCAAAATCAGGCAAGTATGTATCTTCAGAGTCCTGCTCATTTAAACAAAACTTTTCAACGGCATACATGCAGCCTATTCTACTGATGTGGATTGGTCCAGCACCTGCTTGCCTGAGACATATTTTGGGGTCACAAATACACACCAAAACGTAGAGCAAGTTCAGTAAGCAACTCCATCCAAAATCTGCTCTGAGATTCACTTTGAGTTAAACAAGAATGCAGTAATCAACCATTACCTGTGAATTTCTGGATTTGAATTCAATTCAATTTCATTTACATCTGCATTGCATGTCTTCTGCAGTTTTGAGAAACGCTCATGTAGTGTAATATCAGATGCTGGAAAATAATTTGCTAAAAGAGGAAACATGATTTTATGCAAAACTGATTCCACTTAGATTATAAGTACAAGAACGGACTTTCAAAAAATGCAATCTGTTATCTTTTGAAAATGTGGGACCTCACTTTACTTTTTAGATGAATTTATAGTACTCACATGCTATAAGTGAAAAACACTTTACTAAGGAATTCAAGTATTTTCTTCCTAATACGTCTGCTTACTTGTCCATGGAAAAAGACAACGGCTCTCTCAAAGAGAGAACTTTTCTTCTCCAAGAAATTTACCATATGTAGAAAGTGAAGATGGCACAAAGCTCTACACTGGCAACAAAAATTAACTACAAAAAATACCCTAAAACTTCAAAATAACTATGAACAAACGTTAAATATTACATTTACATACCACAGGGACCCTATGTCATTGTATATCAACTAAAGTTCATGGATACATTTTGAAATAAGCCATTCTACAGGATTTTAACAGAACAAAAAGTAAGAGAACACACATGACCCATAGACTCCATTCAAGTAATTCTTTCCCCTACTTTACCACTCCTGTTGCAGAAGAATCTGCTGGGCTTTTCTATAATACTAGCTCTCTTTCTATTAAGAATCACACTTGCTTTGGGTGAGAATGCCTGGAGTTGAGAAAGTGAACTCCGTTCACCAAACTGAATGCTTAAAGAAAATATACACCTCAGCTTGAGGGATGCAGAGAAAATAATGCAGTTTCAAAGTATGTTTCGTGATGGTAGGAAAGATTATGGCCATCATCTGCTAAGAAAAACAAAATACAAATCTTGAAATTGTTTAATGCCTCCGGCTTATGATACCCATGACTACCTTAATTTATGTAGCAACATTGGGGAAAGGTTTTCTACATCACTGAATTTTCTGATTAATGGAAGCATGTCAAAAGCAAAAACAATAATGCAAATCTTTCAATTATTTATTATGCAACTCCCTGATGTTATAAGTCAGCCAAAGCAAATTGGAATTTCTCCCAGATCACTTAGAAACACCCTTATAACCCAAAGTTCCAGGAATGCCTAAAGGTTTTTAAATGATCGCAAAGTGACCTAGATTTCTGGAGTTTATATAGCTGTTCAACCTCTTCCTCCCTTTGTGATTATCAGTTAATTTTTCCACTACTCTGACTGCTTCTCTTTTGCAGCAACCAGCCTCTCTCTAAATTTGAAATTTCTAATCTCCTAACAGTTGAAACACAAGTTTATTGAAACCACACAGAAAGAACAACGGTTCTAATGAACACCTGATACACTCTCCAACACATCTCCTAATCCGTGGTCTACCTTACACTAAAATACTATTAAGCCATACTAATTATACTTCACGGTTTTCCTATTAAATTATATCTCAGGTATTTACCTATATCTTGTAGAAAGTCAGCACATTATTTCTGTTATCCCTAACATATGTGCAAAATATACCAACCTTTAACTTGATGGATTATTGTTATGATTTCCTGAGCAAATTCTTCTGTAGATTTGTTCTGAGTATTCTGAGTTGAGTCAAGATGTTCAAACACTGGATGAAAGTTCTCACTTTTCCTGCCAACGGCAACCAAATCATGTGACATCTGTCTCTCTGAGGAATAGCTAGTAGCAACCCTAGAATAATTTGCAAATGTTTAACTAAATTGGAAACTCTTTTGCTAAGGAAATAACTCATTAAAATTAATATAGCTATAAACTAATAATATATTTATCTTATGATTGACAATTATATGCTATAATCTACAAAAACAAGTAGGAGAAAATAGCTAGAGATACATGTTTCTGAGTTGTTTTTTTTAAAATTAGGCTATTAAACACTTGCCACTTGAATAATCTTCAAAATTCTAAGTAAAACAATTTTTACTTCAAGAACTATAGCCACTAAACACACATAAAATGTAAAATAATCAATGAGATAATTTTCTACTCCTAAATGGCCAAAACATTGTTATCCAGAAAAATTACATTATCTTGAAATACCACTATACTGTAAAAGCTAACAAACACATGACTCCGACTTGACAGTAATCCTTACATTTTAGTATCAGTGATGAAAAGCTTAGTAATTAGTAATAAAAAGCAATTTGAAAGCAAATTCTGTGAACTGATTAATCATAAATTCTCACTAAACTCTAAGAAAGTCCTACTTATTAGCAAAGTCACAACTGTTAACACCTTAAATGCACCCTTAAAGACACACCATCATTTATCATACAGCCCCAGCTATCTTACTATTTAAAAGCCTTTTGAACCTTTTTAATTCTAGGTACTATTATAAAATGGTGATTATGACGTTTAGCTAACACTTATTTGAGGGACCACCATATCCCCAAAGAGTTTAGCAGCATTATCTTATTTAATTTTTATAGTAGCTCTATGGGAATGGCACCATGACACAAATACAATGACATGTACCTTTGTTGTTCTATTTACAATGCAGAGGTTGAACACTCCAATGAGCAGCATCTGTGTCATAAAGGGTGTAAAGCACCTCATTCCAAGATGCTTTTGTGTGAAACACTCTAATATTCTTCATCTGGAGGCAATGTAATTGTCACACCTTTACTATTTTTTTTTGGTTTATATTTATTTTGGAGCCAAAAGGGCAGTCATCAGCTTGCAAACATCTTATTCCTCGGCACTTAATTCTAAATGTTTTTTGGTTCATCCCCACAATCAAGTTCATTGCCCAAAGAATTGAGATTACGACTTCTGAGCTTCTTCATGAGTATGTTACAGGCCCTGCAATTCAATACAGAAGACAGCTCCAGAGTATGTTTAAAATAACAGAACCACTGGAATAAATTATAGCTCAACATATGTCGAAACTAATGAGACGGATATACTTGGGGAAGCAGGGGGAAAGTATGCACTAGTGAAACTGCTTTGGAGTCACAAGTGCTAAGAATTACTACTTATATGAAATTTTCAATTATTCTAAGAAAGTGGTCTTATCAGAGGAAAGGGCTCCATCTGATTTCCTATACTCCCTTCTTCGAACAGTGCTGGACACAATTTTCTGCGGAGGTACAAAGGTAAAAAAGTGATTATGCAGCAGGCTGACGTCACTGCTATGCCTTGCTTGATTCACTAAAAGGCCCATTTTCCTTCTTCCCTTCAAATTTGCTTTAAGCTTCCTACTGGGTATCTGGCAACTAGCTAAGAGACAGTCACAGAAAAATACAGCCCGTACCAACCTCCACCAATCAACTACAAATGCTCTTCGGTAGGGTTCAATGCTAAAAGAAAAAAAGCCTGTTCCATATCAAAAAACTAATTTAGAATTTAAAAAAATTCTATAGAACAAAATATTTAAATAGAATGATGAGGTGGGCTATCCACAAGGGGACATCAGTTGATTAGGATATTTTTTAAAGCCTCACTTTTCCAAACAAGAAAATCAATTCTTAATGGCTTTCAGTTTTTCGACTGCGTAATGGTTACAATTTACTTGTAATTTAGTACAGATTACTGGCAGAACTCTAATCCCCACTCATGTCCAAAATTCAATCCACAAAGTATGTTTTGGTATACTAAGAAAGCTGTATTTAATTCCTGAAATCTTACTATTGAAACATATCAGTTAAAATTTACCCTAGAGTTCAACCAGAACAAGACTTGTATTAAAATACATTAAAAGTATAATTTTCTAGAAACTGAACAGTAATGTTATAACTGGAAGTTTTAGGCTTATCATTTGTTAATTCTAAAGAACTGTCTTCAGAGGTGAAAATTCAAAACTGTCTAGGGCCCAGCACAGTAGCCTAGTGGCTAAAGTCCTTGCCTTGCATGCGCTGGAATCCCAAATGGGCACAGGTTCTAATCCAGGCTGCTCCACTTCCCATCCAGCTCCCTACTTGTAGCCTGGGAAAGCAGTTAAAGACTTCCCAAAACCTCGTGACCCTGCACCCGCGTGGGAGACCCAGAGGGGGCTCCTGGCTCCAGATTGTCTCAGTTCTGGCCATTGCAGCCACTTGGAAAATGAATCAGCAGATGGAAGATCTCACTGTCTCTCCTTCTCTGTCTATACCTGCCTTTCCAATAAAAACAAATCTTAAAAAATAGTCTGAATATTTATACATTTAAAACATTTCTTGATTCACATTTTCCATTTCAATATTCCCTACATTATGCAATTAACAAGTTCATAATTTCAGGAAACATCCCAAAAGCACACACTTGGGCTGAAAAGACCAAATGCTATCATCTGAAACACATTTGTTAATTCTTAAAATTCAGCCAAAAACTTAAACTCTAAACTATATTAGGTACTAGCCTCATGACACTTCCTTTGTTCAATTTCTCCGCTCCTTTTTTCTCTGTTTAAAGATATCTCCGGGCCCAGCGCGGTGGCGCAGTGGTTAAAAGTCCTCGCCTTGCACGCCCGGGATCCCATATGGGCGCCGGTTCTAATCCCAGCAGCCCCGCTTCCCTTCCAGCTCCCTGCCTGTGGCCTGGGAAAGCAGTCGAGGACGGCCCAAAGCTTTGGGAACCTGCACCCGTGTGGGAGACCCGGAAGAGGCTCCTGGCTTCGGATCGGCATAGTATCGGCCATTGTGCTCACTTGGGGAGTGAATCATCGGATGGAAGATCTTCCTCTCTGTCTCTCCTCCTCTCTATATGTTTATCTGACTTTGCAATAAAAATAAGTCAATCTTTTTTTTTTTTATTGGAAAGGCGGAGATACAGAGAGGAGAGACAGGAAGATCTTCTGTCCGATGATTTACTCCCCAAGTGAGCGCAACGGCCGATGCTATGCTGATCCGAAGCCAGGAGCATCTTCCGGGTCTCCCACACGGGTGCAGGGTCCCAAAGCTTTGGGGCGTCCTCGACTGCTTTCCCGGGTCACAGGCAGGGAGCTGGATGGGAAGTGGAGCTGCCGGGATAGAACTGGCGCCCATATGGGATCCCAGCATGCAAGGCGAGGAAAATAAGTCAATCTTAAAAAATTTTTTTTCATACTGTGATTCCTTAACTTACATTCTGCACATAATTATGACGTTTGGGTAATATAATAATAGGACATGTAATAGTACCAAATAATTTAGGGGAACATAAAAAGATACAAAACTATCAATATTATGTTATGACAGCTATATATAAATATAGACAAGAAGGGGCCGATGTTGTGGCACAGCACATCAAGCTACTGTCTATGATGTCAGTATTCCATATGGGTACCAAGTCATGTCTCAGCTGCTGTTCTGACCCAACTTCTTGCTAATGTGCCTGAGAAAGCAATGGAAGATGGCCCACATCCTTGGGCACTTGCCATCCATGTAGGAAACCTGGAAGAAGCTCCTGGTTCCTGGCTTCAGATTGTCCCAGCTCTGGCTGTTGCAGCCATGTGGGGAGTGAAACAATGGATGACATTTCCCACCATCCCACCCATCTCTCTCTAACTCTACCTGTAAAATAAGCAAATAAGTCTTACACACACACAGAGAAAAATAATAAAAGAAAACAAACTGGAAAACTAAAAAATTCTTCTAGGACAGTAGGATCAGGAGTGCTTTGTGTCCCTGTATTTTTCCAACTTTTTAAAATAATAATCATCCTTATAAATACCTTCCATGCACATATAAACATATTGTGTATATTCAATATTTTTTTTTCTGCAGTTGCAATGCATGTGAGGAAAACATGTGGAAGAGGGCTGTCACACCTAACTTTCAAGAACAAGAAATAAAAAAAGGGACCCTGGATTTACCATGCTACCCTTTGCATTTTGTTTTCTCTTATTTTTTATTCAAATACAAATAGGAGTCAACTATGAATATAAATGCATCAAGTCAACATGGTCCATCACTTTTTCATTTACATTCTAGCAGTATATTGAGATAATGAGCGGGATTAGCTGACACTGCCAACTGCAACGCCTTATTCATAGAAGGTAAAAATGAAGGTGATATTCATAATAGAAGAAGGCATACACATGCTTTAGAATATAGCCTACTACAACAGGAGATTGTACGGCTTTTTTGTTTGTTTGTTAAATTATTAACATGAAGCTAAGCCTCCACCTATGTTACCAGCATCCCATATAAATGTCAGTTCAAGTCCCAGCTGCTCCACTTCTGATCCAGCTCCCTGCTAATGTGCCTGGGAAAGCAGTAAAAAGATGGCCCAAGCTCTTGGACCCCTGCACCCATGTGGGAGACCCAGGAGAAGCTCCTGGCTTTGGGTCAGCCCAGCTCTGGCTCTTGCGGCCATTTGGGGAGTGAACCAACAGACAGAAGATCTCTGACTCTCTTCTATAAATCTGCCTTCAAAATAAAAAAAATAATAATAATCTTAAAGAATCATTAAGAGCTAAAGCAAATGTCTTATATACAGGGATTTCCCCAGGCTGTAGTGTAAGTTCCTTTACCTGGGAAAATCTAGTTGATTAAGCCATTCTGAGATGGCAGTGGGAGCCACACTAAGTCACCCACTTGCTTCAGTCACAAAGGGAAAAGTGGATTTGAGCCAATTCCGACTTAGACAATTCAGCTCATTTCTCAGGGCCTTACTTTCTCTCTCTAATAAATCAAAGCCTATTAAAGTCCTTTCTAAAATTCTCTTGAATTTCACATGACAGGAACACTGGCACTGAGCACCTAAGCAAGGAATACGTCTCTTTTTGAACTCCACTTCGTCAATCCCAGGATAAGGAAACTCTGGCAGCACATCAGGAAGGGCTACAACTGCATGAAACGCCCTGGATCTGAGAAGCATCTGGAGACAGGATTCGGAAATATGCAATTATCCCATATTATTAAGCACAGGATTCACTCTCACTATAGAGCTTTGTGAGAAAAATCCAGGTGACCCATCTTCCCTCTCCCCCCAACTCCCATAGACTCTAAACACACTAAGAATTTCATTTTTGAAATTGAAAATTGAGGTGGCAGAAACATCAAATACATAGAAAAACAAAGATAATACCTGAACATATCTACTGTTTTCTTCACAGCTATTTTAACTGTAAGTGAATTCTTCCTAAGATTGACAAATAAGGGTTTCACACCAGCAAGTTTCTGACTTTTATCAGGATGATTACTGGAAAAGTTGCTCTCTCTTCTGCAATCCCCTTCTGTCTTTCTTTTTCCCTTCCATTTATCTTTACAGGGCCTCAAACCAACCTCATTTTGATTTGAATGAGTATAGGCGATGCAGTCTTCCTTAGCTGGTTTAAAGGGCTCTCTGCCTTGCCCACCTTCAGTCTCTCTCCCTCTTCCAGTATTAAAAAAATCTGACTCTCTATTTACAGAGCCTTTTCGAGAACTATATTTTGCATCTTCCCTCAAGTACCTCTGAGTTCTTCCATCAGAAAAGTGCTGGTCTCCACCTGATGGCTTCCGGTGTTTGTGGCGATAGTCATAAGACACTTTGGCAGCTGAACCAGTCCTTGAGTATTCCTTTTCAGCGTATCGATGAGTTTGGGTACTGAAGGTCCAGGGCTCTTTCTCCTCTTGGTACTGTGAAAGAGGATGCTCAGGCTTCCACTTTGGGTTCCTGGTAGGCACTCTGTTTTCATACCATTCCACATCGTTAGATCTTTTTGATGTGTGTCCATAGTTTTTGAAATCATGATCTTCAGGATACCTGTGATAACATAAAGTAGTTTATACCTGCACTAAAAAGAAAGTAAATATTTATATGTATAGAATATTCGGCAGCATGCTAATTTACGATCCCTCAAGCCAATTCACAGAGGCAAAGAGTAGTTAAAAAGAAAAATATCATCATGGGCCCGGCGCGGTGGCGCAAGTGGTTAAAGGTCCTCGCCTTGCACGCCCGGGATCCCATATGGGCGCCGGTTCTAATCCCGGCAGCCCCGCTTCCCTTCCAGCTCCCTGCCTGTGGCCTGGGAACGCAGTCGAGGACAGCCCAAACCCTTGGGAACCTGCACCCGCGTGGGAGACCCAGAAGAGGCTCCTGGCTTCGGATCGGCATAGTATCGACCCGTTGCGCTCACTTGGGGAGTGAATCATCGGATGGAAGATCTTCCTCTCTGTCTCTCCTCTCTGTATATCCGCCTTTCCAATAAAAAAAATAATAAAAATAAATCTTTAAAAAAAAAAAAAAGAAAAATATCATCTTTTAAAAATTTCTGGTCATAAGCATGTTTCATTGTAGAAAGAAATATTTGATCAAAAGAGCTTAACTAAATTACAATGCCTTGTATGTATTTAGGCAAAAGCTTTTCAAGGTGGTTGTGTTTAACCTTAGAGTAAAGTAACTTGAGGCTTTATGCAAATTACCCAGGATTAATATTTTCCTATACCTCTTCTGAAAAGAGCTCCTTGTGTCAAAGTCTTCAAAGCCTCGTCGAGGTGACTGAGGATAGTTTTCTTCTTGGATTTTCTGATACCTCAACTCATCTTCATGCCACTTTCCTTCAGATCTAAAGGAATCTGCCATTACCCTCTGATTTGGCTTTCCTCCTTTCTCACTTCCTCTAACTCTGTGGTCGTCAGTCATATACCTTCCTTGCAATGTCTGCGGATAAAAATTTCTCTCATACTCCTTGTAGGGTGCCCACTCTGAATATCTGGGCATGTACTGAAACCTTCGGTCACCGTTTCCTCTTCCAGGCGAATACACTCGATGTGCTTTATGTGTATAAAAATTCTCTAAAACATTTCTTCTTATGTTTGGGGAAGGTGACCTGTATTCGTAAGATCGGTAATGCGTATTTCCACGAGGGGACATTCTTGGTTTACACTGCTCATATTTCTCACTGTCTATTCTCCAATCGGCGAGTCTTTTTGCATCCTTCCTGTATTCACAGCCATAATGCCCATGAGAATACTTCTGCTTGTGTGGTTCAGAATCTCTAGGTAGTGGTGATAAAGACCTACACAAACGAACACAGAAAAGTTTAGTCCATTTAAAGAAAATAAACTGTGTGTGTCTTAAATATTACTTAAAATATTGCTTTTACCCCAAACTAAGTGTATCAATTTGCTGAAAGTATTGTGATTTGCATTTAGAAATCTGATGCTGGTACTCCAATGCAACCAGCACACACTTTCCGTCCGCACTAACACCGTGCTCCAAGTGCACATCAAGAGGGGCTGAGGCAAGTCGAGCCTCGGGGCACAGAGGTATACATCTGGCAATATCGATGACAGCCAAAGTTCTGTAAGAGGAGATAATGGGGTAACTTCAAAAGGCCAGTCAGCCAAAACTTTTGTCAGGTTCAACAGCAGGATGGGAAACAAGTAGAAGAAGTAGATTAAAAAATAGAATATGCAGGAAAGTATCTGAAAAACTGAGTATGGCTTCTGAAATAAATTATATTTAAGACTTAATGATGTTGCAACTCAAATTTAGACACAAGATGAACCTCATAGTGTTTCCAATTCATAATCTAATCTCTCCATAAAGGAGTCAAAAATATACACATTCATTTAATAGGTAGAAAGGGAAAGGAGAGTAGAGGTGCTAAGATTTGAATTACAGGCCCGGTGCTACAGCCTAGTGGCTAAAGTCCTTGCCTTGCATGTGCCAGGATCCCATAGTGGCATTTGTTCATATTTCAGCAGCTCCACTTCTCTTCCAGCTCCCTGCGTGTGGCCTGGGAAAGCCATAGAGAACCGCCCAAAGCCTTGGGACCCTGCATCTGTGTGGGAGACCCAGGACGTTCGAACCAGTGCCCACATGGGATCCTGATGCTTGAAGTGACAGGATTAGCCAATCACGCCATTATGCCAGGCCCTCTATAATTACTTCTAACACAGCTAAGTTGCTTTTCTTTTCTTTACCAAACCTGTTCCCATGCACACAACAGAAGGAGGCCATGCTTTTTCTTTTTCTTTTTTTTTAATTATTTACTTATTTGAAAGACAGGGAAGCAGATCTAAGCATTTGGCCAGTGGTTAAGATGCTGCTTGGGACAGATTCTGTATTGTAGTGCCTGAAGTTTGAGTCCTGGCTCCAATCCCAGTTCCAAGGCCATGCTTTTCCAACAGAGCTCGGAACTCTGGTGGAGGTGTGCCTTAACGCAGCTGTCATGTGTTCCAGGGACAGCGATATCCCTTCCGTAACTACCTTCTCCAGTACTTTATCATAGACAACACTGAGCCTTCTGTTCTTATTGAGCAGGGAGCTCTTATATCCAGGTCAACCAGTTTGAACAGCCCAGACTTAAAATGAAGGAAGAAGACTGCCAGCACCTGGAAGATAAGACTGTCCCCGTTCCCCTGCCCCTGCTCCCTGCATCCTGACTCTAATCTGTGAGCCGAGTACCCTGGTGGTTTCTGTTACTGCCCCTCTCAGAAGTTGCCAGGGAGTTGGAGCAACCTTGAGAAAATCCTTTTTGATGATAATTCGGCACCTTTCCCATAAGAACAGAGGCAGATCTATCTTCCTCACATACATACTGGAATATAGAAAATGGACTTGGCAATACTGCCCTGTCTGGAGTCACGATGTACGACACACTGGCAGAACCTTGCCATGCAGCTAGCTACACCACATCAACAGAGCCTCTGAGGCCTTCCTGGAAGAATTTCATCTCTTTCACTGCAGGAGAAAAGTTAGCAGGCACAGGTCTCAGTTTGGCTGAAATAGTGCCTTGCTTTACCTCTTATTACACATTAGAAACTACTTTGCTATTATATTCCTAACACACGAAATATGTGTTATTGTATAATCTCCCTTCTTATGAACAACATTGCTGGGAATGGATTCTATTATTTTCAGTTTCCCAAGAGATGAAAGAGATCCAAGGAGTCTGCTGGGAGACTCCAGTCTCGGGAGGCCTGCAAGCCTTGGGAGCGGAGGCGGCGACAGCTTCTGTTCCAGGGTAAACAGCCTTGGAAGACAGAGATAAGGTCTCCCTGAGCAACACAAGGCCAATGTGTTTGACACCTGGAAGAGTAAAGGATATTGTGTCCCCCAAGGTAAAAATTGGGCCACTTTTCTGATAAGGAACGGAGGTTCCATGGCTTTACCAAGCACATTAGCAGTCAGTTGAATAAGAAATGAAGCAGCCAGGACTTGAATTGGTATCTATACAGCACGTTGGCCTTTCAGTGGGCGGCTTTACCTGCTGAGCACAATATCGGTCCCAATTACGTTCTTTTAAAGTCCTAGAATATATTGGTTATATTCTAGCTCTGTGTCTTTACTCCTATTCTAACTGGAACATTTTCTTCACCCATTCTGTCTTTAAAAATTCTATACAAGGCATGTATACTGACAGCAGCGCAGTCCAGCGCGGCTGGCCAAGGGCAGCACCCCAGGCCCAGGCTTGGCACATCCCGTGCCCAAGGCCCCGAGTTCCAGGGATTCCACTGTGGCCAAGGCCATGTTCGGCCTGTTCCCACAGCCCTCCCTGCCTTTCCCTGTGCTGAGCCTGGACTCCTCATGAATTCCTTCCTGCCATGGGAGCATCAGAGCCAGATCCCCCTGCACATCGGAGCTGAGCTCCAGTCCTGCTTCTTTGCCTCCCAGGGCTGTACCGAGTCACTACCAGGCCTTACCAGTGCCCTCCCCCTCCCCCCTCCAGGCCCTAGTGAACCAGTCCTCCCTGGGGACTTGCTTCAATTCTTGCCACTGCTGCCACTGTGGTTGACTGTGTCCACAGTGGGCACGGCGGCCCTGAGGCAGCCCCTGGCAGCGCCACTGCTCTCCACGTGGGCACCCGCCTTCATTGCCACTCCCACCTTGAAGGTTGCTGCAGACTCGGTAGCATCTGCACTGAAGACGGCAAACAGCAAGAGCTCCACATCTGTGCTCTGTGCACCAGGGAGTTCAAAAACAGCTAAAACCTCTGGAGGTGCACAAGGGTCAAGGCCAGCCAGGCCCTCGGGCGCTCTGAGGATGTTCACCATAACGCTCCTGCTGCGTGGAGCCAGTGGGGCAGGGGTAAAGCGGACACAGGCAGCAGCACTGGGAAGCACATCAGGAAGAACCATGTCCACAACATGTGCACAAGGCCTTCAGCGACATCTACCACCTGAACCAACACAGCCCATCACATTTGGATAAGAAGCCCCACCAGTGCCCACTGTGCCAGCAGCACTTAAGGCTCAACAACAGGAAAAAAAAGAGAGAGAGAGAGAGAAAGAAAAGAAAAAACTCCAGTACCGGGCCTGGCAGTGTAGTCTAGTAGCTAAAGTCCTTATACACACCAGGATCCCATATGGGCGCTGGTTGGGATCCCGGTGGCCCTGCTTCCCATCCAGCTCCCTGCTTGTGGCCTGGGAAAGCAGTGTAGGAAGGCCCAAAGCTAAGGATGAAACCTTAGGGAACCTGCACCCGTGTGGGAGACCTGGAAGAGCTTCTGGCTCCTGGCTTCTCATTGGCTCAGCTCCAGCTGGTGCGGCCACTTAGGGAGTGGATCATTGGACGGAAGATCTTTCCTCTCTGTCTCTCCTCCTCTCAGTATATCTGACTTTCCAATAAAAATAAAATAAATCTTAAAAAGAAAAAGCTCAAGCACATGAGCTGCGACATGTGCTCAAGTATCAGCACTCTGCACAAGTCCTACAGCTGCTCCCACTGTGACAAAAGCCTCTCCCAGCCGGATCCCCTCACTGGGGAGGTCAAGCAAGGCACTTAACAGACCAGCCCTTCATGCAAGAGAAACTTGAGGCAGCTTGGCTACTGAGGGTCAGCTCTGGGTGCGTGCAGGACGCGAGAAGACGATGCCATGCCACCTGTGCGGCAAGAGGCGGAGCTCGGCTTATGTTTGGAACCACAGGAAGGTGCATGGCCCTCACCCTCAGCATGTCCGTGAGGATTGGTGAGGCTTGTCCAACGGCGGCAGTGCAGGTGGCGGCCCCTCCCACAACTGTGGACTCCCTTTCAGGAACTGAGAGGGTGCCACTGAGCTCTCCCAGCCCTGCTGAGCTCCAAGTTTGCAGATAGGAGGGGACAGTGGAAGAATGTCCCTTGGTATAGTCTCCTTTCTCCAACCTGCCCAGTGACTTCTGCCTGCATCCGAACCAAGAAGCCCCCAAAAGGAGGAAGGCGTGTCTTCTTGGAGGAATCGGCGAGGTCTTCCGGACCTGCTTCCTGTGCTCCTCTCCTTCCTATCAGAGAAGACCCTGCGACCCCTGCCCCCTGCTTGCGTTGAAGTCTTCTGAACAGTGGGTGGGTTGGCAGAGGACAGGAGCAGCCCGGTTCTCGCCACCTCCCTCTGCAGCCCCCTGCACCGCCTGCCTTCCCGGGGACTTCCTGAGCTGCTTCCCTCCAGGGTCCTTGCTCTCCTCCTTCCAGCCTGCTTTCCCACCAATGTGTGCTGGCCCTCCCAGGGGTTTCTGTTTCATCCTTAGCTTTTTTCCCCTTAGGGGAGGGAGGAGAGGAAGGAGGGAATCATTCTGTCTTAAGGAGGGAAAGGTGACATTTGAGAAGGGGACAGAGCCAGGAAAGGCAGAGGTGTGCCTACCTGGGCATGTTTGGAGGGGGGAAAGAACAGGAGGAGGAGCAAAAGAAGAAGCTACTATGGCCAGAGTACAAGAGATGGAATTGAGGCCAACGGGATGGCTCACTTGGCTAATCCCCAGCTTGCAAGTACCAGCATCCCAAATGGCCTTTGATTCTTGTCCCACTGCTCCCCTCCCCATCCAGCTCCCTGCTTGTGGCCTGGGAAAGCAGTGGAGGACAGCCCAAAGCCTTGGGACCCTGCACCCGCATGGGAGATCTGGTGGGGGCTCCTGGCTTCGGATCAACTCAGTTGCAGCTGTTTGGGGAGTAAACCAGTGGACAGAAGATCCTTTTTCTCTGTAAATCTACCTTTTCAATTAAAATATTAAAGAGAGAGAGAGAGATAGGCAGACCACTGCTCAGGAAGGAGGTTCCTGGTGTTTGATAAGATCCACCGCCCATCAATATGTACCTTTTGAAAGTTGCTTGCTTCAAACCCACCAATAGAAGCCTGCTAAATCATGACTGTATAATTAATAGCCTGAAATGTATAAGGACCCTGGGCTGTTCAATGGGGGGGGGGGGGGGCCCTCTCCTCTTTTACCCCCCCTGCTGTTCCTGCAGCAGCCTGGGCTGCAGCAGCCCCTCCCCCTCCAGCCCTGCTGCGCTCAGGGAGGTGGCTGGGAGACCAAGGCTAACCTGAATAAACCACCGTTACGCCTTAAAAGAAAAAAAAAGGAGGGGGGGGGAGAGAGAGAGAGAGAGAGATGGATTCATAGGGAGCCATGGTAAATGAGATGATTCAAGGCCCACGAGTGCCTCCTGCCAGAGGGGAGGGGAATGCAGCCCTAGTTATCGCCCCTTCCCTTTGCACGCCGCTCCGGCTATAGTCTCATCTTTTCATCCTGCTTCCCCCCACAGAGCTGGGCTCTGGCCATGTCACTGTGTGCCTGTGTCTCCCACATGTTTCCCCTGCTCTCTGTCCACTCCTTTTCTGTGGATTCCATTATAATACATTTTCAATAAAAACCTGTCTTTATTTATATCCCCCATTCTATGTAACTTTAAATGGCCAGCCACATTTTAAAATTTCTTTGAGGATTTCCTTAGTATCTGCTATCCCCTCCACGGAAGCACAATTATTCCCTCGCTGTAGATACAGAATGTGCTCTGCCCCGACCAGCAGCGGCCTGCGCACCTGCCAAGGCTACAAGGACGACACGTCTGCCTCGGCAGCCCTGGAACCTGCCTGTTCTAGTTAGTACAAAAAGTGAAAAATTACTATGGCTAAGGTTTAAGGGAATTAATACGAAAAGTAGCAGGTATACCATAAAGGGTGACAAAGCTGCTTTAATCTAATTATATATGGTGCTGATACTATCAACCAAGAAAAAGGAGTTAAACTACAATCAAGCCATTCAAAATTCTATTATTCTCCACAAACAAGAGCGAGCAAATACCCTTTTGTCTAACTCCATATTTCTTTAAATACTGGCCATAAAAAAGAAAATTAAGTATATATTAAAATGCTCTAAATCACTCATGATTTTGTAAAATTTACCACCCTCAAAAGTTTCTCTCATTTTCCTTTGTTGTGGCCACTTCATGTTTTATTAATTTATTAATTCTAACTCCCAATCATAATTAAAGCTGCCAGCTCCTAGAAAATAGCAATAGGAACTCCATTACAATTAAATACCCAATGTGAGCAATCGGGTCCCACAAACTTATTAAATGGGTTTTCTTTTCAGCATACTGGTGAATTTCAAAGTTGTACCACACACCACAACCTAGCTCACTCTGTAACACTAAGAACTACTCACCTGTTCTTCCACCTGGGGGATCGAGACCGGGACCGGGACCGCACCATCCTCTGACATGTGAGTCACTACCACCTAGCGTAAAGCAAAGAAATACAGTATTAGCACGTTTGTGGAAACAGGCTGCAGTCTGTTCTAAGACATGGTAAATGCCACAAAAAAAAAAAAAAAAGCCTCAATAGCTCTGCTTCAGTTTCCTCATCTGTACACTGGAAGTGAAAGAAACACCACCAAGATTACTGAAATGTTATTGGGATAAAACAAGTTGAAGCAGCGATCACCAAGTGTTTCTGTAAACTGCATATAGTGACTATTTCAGCTTTGTAGGCTATACAAGGTCTCTGACATATTGGTTTTCTTAAAAAAATAAATTCCTTTGACCAGCACAATGACTCAACAGGCTAATCCTCCACCTGCCAGTGCTGATATTTTCTATGGCCTCTGGTTTGTGTTTGTGTTGGAATGGAGCCCACCCAGCTCCCTGCCTGAGGCCTGGGAAAGCAGTGCAGGTCGGCCCAAAGCCTTGGGTTTCAGTAAGCAAAGACTTCAAATATATCACAAAACACAAAACTCATAAGAAAAAAAAGAATTATGAGTATATCAGATGTTCAAATTCATTAGCAATTGGGAAAGTGCAAATTAAGATCACAGCCATTTCACACTCCTCACACTAGCCAAAAGAAAATTAAGTTGCAAACTCTGGATTGTTGACAATTACATGGAGAAAAAGAACTCTTATATTTCGACAGACTGAATATTCATGGATCTAACTAGTTTGGAAGCAGTGTGGTTATACACGCTAAAGTTGAACACGTCCAAAGCCCGCAACCAGGCGACCTATGCCGGAATACACCTTAGAGTAACGTGCATAAACACCCCTAGAAGGCTAAATGAGCCACAGACCGGTGGTCCTAATTCCTGGAGAGGGCCCACTTCAGCAAGACCCCATGGGATGTGAATCCGGCTACCGCAGGGACTACAGAATCACTGATTTTAAGGGAAAAACAGAGATCATATGGGAGAAGATGTTTACAAGTGAGATTTATTACACAACTAAACATTTTTTACTATTTTCCTTTATCTAATATTAAAATTCAAACTATTCACAAACATAGGTGAAGTTTACTACACATAAATTATATCTCAAAGCTATAAATAAAACTAGCTCTAGGGTAATTAAAATGTTCTAAAATGTGGGAGACCCGGAAGAAACTCCTGGTTCCTGGCTTCAGATCAGCTCAGCTCCAACCATTAGAACCATGTGGGAAGTGAACTAGCAAATAAATGATCTTTTTTTTTTTTTGTATTTCCTTTTCTCTGCAAATATGCCTTTCCAATAAAAATAAATAAATTTTAAAAGAAAAAGGAAAATACACTCAACCCTACTATAAAATGTGGAAACAAAGCGAGATACCATTACATGCTCCTATATACATGCAGAGTTGTAAACTTTGTGGTACCCATGTGCTGACAAGAAAGCAGAAAAAGAATTCCTCACCTTACAGGAATTTCTCCCCAAACCATGAAACAGAGGGAAACCATAACACAATACTCTAAATCTCCAAAGAATATTAAATGTATTTAAAAAAATTTGATTTAGGAAAAAAAAAACTTGAGTACCAGATAACTCAAAACAGACTAACAACTAAAAAAAGAGAGAGAGCTATGAAAGGAAAAAGTTTAACTAAAATAGGTGGCAAATGGGAGAAGACTCAACTAAAAAATAAATTACAGAGCCGAGCGTGATAGCCTAACAGCTAACGTCCTTGCCTTGCCTTACACACACCATATGGGTGCCAGCCCTATTCCCAGCAGCCCCACTTCCTATCCAGCTCCCTGCTTGTGGCCTGGGAAAGCAGTTGAGGACAGTCCAAAGCCTTGGGTCCCTGCACCTGCATGGGAGACCTGGAAGAAGCTCCTGGCTCCTGGCTTTGGACTGGCTCAATTCTGGCCATTGTAGCCACTTGTGGAGTGAATCAACGGATGCAAGATCCTCTTCTCTGTCCCTTCTCCTCTCTGTATATCTGACTTTGCAATAAAAATAGATAAATAAATAAATAAATTGCAAGGCCCAAAGAAGAGTAAGCTTAAATAACTAACAGCTTAAATGACAGCAGAAAACCAACCAAATAAGATAATATGGGAGGTAGGAAAAACAAATGAGAATGGAAGGAGAGGGAAGGAGAGAACAGGATAGAATGATAGCAGTATTTACAGAAGATAAGAAAAAATACTTGTATTATGATGAAGAAATAACCAGGGCCTGGCGGCGTGGCCTAGCGGCTAAAGTCCTCACCTTAAATGCGCCGGGATCCTATATGGGCGCCGGTTCTAATCCCGGCAGCTCCACTTCCCATCCAGCTCCCTGCTTGTGGCCTGGGAAAGCAGTCGAGGACGGCCCAAAGCCTTGGGACCCTGCACCTGTGCAGGAAATCTGGAAGAGCTTCCTGGTTCCCGGCTTTGGATTGGCGCAGCACCAGCCATTGCGCTCACTTGGGGAGTGAATCTTCGGACAGAAGATCTTCCTCTCTGTCTCTCCTCCTCTCTGTATATCTGACTTTCCAATAAATAAATAAATCTTTAAAAGAAAAAGAAATAACCAAATAATTGAAAAGATATGAAAAATCAAACAATGGAAATGGATTATTTAAAACTTCAATTCAAGAAAACCTTCCAAAAATGGAAAAATACTGGAAAACTTAAATCTACACTTTTAAAAATTTATCAAGCATCTAGGAAAACCAACTCAGGACAATCACCTTTAAAACATAGTCCAGTGGCACAACTGGCTAATCCCCTGCCTGCAAGCACTGGCATCCCATTTGGGTGCCGGTTCATATCCCAGCAGCCCCTCTTCCCATCCAGCTCCCTGTGTGTGGCCTTGGAGGGCAGTAGAGGACGGCCTAAATCCTTGTGACCCTGCACTCAAGTGCAAGACCGGGAGCATGCTCCTACCTTCTAGCTTCAGATCAGTTCAGCTCCGGCCATTATGGCCAGCTGGGGAGTGAAACAGTAAATGAAAGATCTTTGTCTCTCCTTCTTTCTGTAAATCTGCCTTTCCAATAAATAAATCCTTAAAAATAAATAAAACATTGTCCAAGCAATATCAACTGGATCTCAAAGATAAAAACCCTTAAGACTTCTAGGCAAAGAAAAGCTTCTAGGCATCCATATAGTCACCAGTTGAAGTTCTGCTGTCCCACTCTGCTCCAGCCCCTCGGTTAAGGTGCCGTGGAAAGCAGCAGAGGATGGCCCAAGTGTCCGCATCCCTGCTCACACACGGGAGATGCAGGAGCTCCAGGTGTCTAGCCTCAGCCAAGCACAACACAGGCTGTTCCTGCCATTTGGGGAGTGAACCAGCAGATGGAATCTCTCTCCTTCCCTCTCTGTCCTCTCTGCAATTCTGCCTTTCAAATAAATAAATAAAAACTAAAACAAAAAAAAACTAAATACTGTAACTTAAAAATCCAAAATAAATAAAAAGGAGCACTACTTTAAACAAATGACAGTAAATGCAAATCAAGAATGCTCTATTAGCCAAGATTCCCCTCAGACATGAAGGGAACAGAAAAACAGCTCTCTCTCAAAGATGTATGTATTTATTATTTATTTATTTGAAAGGCAGAGTGAGAGAGAGAGGGAGGCACGCAGGGAGAGGGTTCGTTCATCAAGTGCCTGCAGAGAAGGGGCAGGGCAGGCTGAAGCAGGACGCCAAGCCTGCAGGGCGCTGTCCCATGAAGGCAGCAGGGACTCAGGTATCTGAGCCGTCCTCTGCTGCTCTCCAAGTCCTTTAGAAGTCAGCTAAATCACAACGACTTTCAGAAAGGATTTTTGCATCCCAAGAGCAGACTTACCCCACAACACCTGTCCCTAAAGTAATTTTGAACATATAAGAATATAGGGAACTCTGCACTGAATAGCTCCCCCTGAAGACTATCCTAGAGAATGGGCCTCCCTCAACCAATGACTGGGAAAATATCGCCAAAAGGACTAATGGAAAAGCAGACAAAATACCGTATGCACATCCTAAGACACCAAAATATGAGTGAAGACCAATGTTAAATTTTCCATGCTGTGAGAGTAAAACACAACAGCTAAAAACTGGGAGAGGGGTTGATGGTGTGGCCTGATGGGGAAGCTGCCACTGAGACCAGTGGCACTCCTACGGGCAACAGCTTGAGTCGTGGCTGCTCCACTTCCGGTTCAGCCTCCTGCCAGCATGCCTGGCAAAGCAGCGGAAAACGCTCCAGCTTTAGGTCTCTGCCACTCAAGTGGAGGACCCGGAAGAGGCTCCTAAGCAATTTTTGTAGCCTCGATCAGACAATAGTTTCTAGGATAGGACACACAAAGAGAAAAGAAAAAATGGGTTGGCCATTATCAAAATTAAAAATGTTGAAGTAGTGTCCTGGCACAGTAAGTCAAATCGTGACCTGCTATGCTGGCATCTCCCATAGGTACCAGTTTGAGTCTCTGGCTCCTCCACTTCCAATGAAGCATCCCGCTAATGTGCCTGGGAAATCTGCACCAGAAGACGGCCCTAAGTGTTTCAGGCTCTGCCGCCCACGTGGGATATAGGAATGAAACTCCTGGCTTCAGCCATTTAGGGAGTGAACCAGTGGATCAAAGATTTCTCTAACTATGCTTTTCAAATAAATTAGCTTTAAAAGTTAAAAATATTTATGATATAAAAGTTGCTATGAAGAAAACAAACAGTCCAGAGACTGGGAGAAAAATATCCGCAATCCATTTCCCTTATAAAATATTTTTATCTAGAACACATACAAAACTCTTACAATTCAATAACAGATAAATAAATTTCTTAAAAGAGTCCAAGACATGGAAAATATTTCTCCAAAGCAAATACACTAATATGGAGCCAGAAAGATGGCTCAACTGGTTAACCCTCTGCCTGTAAGCACCAGCATCCCATATGGATGTTGGTTTGAGTCCCAGCTGTTGCAACTACTATCTTATGGCATGAGAGCGCAAAGGAAAATGGCCCAAAGCCTAGGGCCCCAGCACTCACACAGGAATCTCACAAGAGGCTCCTGGCTTTGAATCAGGTGAGCTATGGTCATTGCAGCCATTTGGGGAGCAAATCAGTGGATGGAAGATTTTTCTCAGTAAATCTGCTTTTACAATAAAAAAACTTTA